ATTTTTTTCTACACTGAAGCAACAAAAATATGGCAGATGAACTAATATGATGCTAGATCATGCTAATATATATGCTAAACATAATTTATCAGTCTTTTTGCAAGTTTCTTCTTCATTTCACCTTTTTACCTGCTTACCTCTGATTTACCTAAGTCACTTACGTTGTGACTTCTTGCAGGAAGTGTTTTAATGTCTTTTTATTATTATTATACTGCATGCACTGTGGAAACACATTGCTACTACTTACATATGTTATCTCATATGCTAAGAAACCCCTAACATTTTCAAAAAGGTTACTTCCCCACCTAAAAATTTCAGAAAACTTTATCTGGACCTGCTACTTCACAGGTCTGAATTGCAATATACTCTGTCTTGGGTTGTGTTTGTGGAGCGTTTTGAGCTCTAGTTCATTGCTGTAAAATGATTTCTGCCTCATGCCTCTTCCCTTCTGGTGTTCAGACCAAGTTGTCCTTAAGTTGAGCATCATTATTGTAGGTACAGTTGTACTTAGAATTACATATTTCATCAGGGAATGAAGCACTGAATGCCTCTTAGAGAAGTTAATGGAATAAAATTGTTTAATTAAATTCTAACTTTGAGAATTCGTCAGAAAAGATGCTGCATCATTCAGGCTGTAAACAGAATGCCACTTCTAGCCACCTTTATAAAACAGGCTGCTAAGTGCACTGTTATTCCTGGACCTTCTCCTAAGGCTTTGCATGGACTTAAATAGCCCAGCCCTAAATAATGTGCTACTTTGTTATGAGTCTGTAAGGAGTAATTTTTGGTAAGAAACTAGCTCCTAAAGTATCTGTAAGGCAGTCCCCCTTCCTGAGCTTCAGTAATCCTAAACCAGCTGCTTTGCCTCCCAGCTGAATGTGTGGGGATGAGGACCATCATCATTACAGTAATACCTGCTGCCTCTGACTCACTCCAGCTCCTGCTGGGAGAAGTGCATTTCTCTGTGCGTCTGAGAGCTGCCACAGTGCAAGGAGGATTCACTGCCAAGTTCAGATTTTTTAGTTGTAGTTTACCTCCCTTGTTCTTTTCGTAACCTTTGTGTACTGTGGGAGAATAACTTTAGTTTATGGTGTTTGAGGAGACTACCTGCAGAAGCTGAAAAAAGTCTGAGATCTGTATTCATGCTTTCAGGAGTATTTCTTGGTGGGAGTGTTGTATTCTCTGCACCACAGGAAAGTGCAAACAAAGTAGGTCTTGCTCCACAGCACAAATGAGATCTGTGTGAACAAACCCTTGTCTGCAATATGCCTTTACCCGATGAACATTCAGCACACAGATACTGGCAGTCTTGAAATCGCTGGGGGGAAAATGATCTGAAACATTACCATTTACCTTACAGCTGCAGCTTTGCGTCTTGAAACACTGACATTTCACCTGTAATTTAATCTCTATTATTAATGAATCATGGAAACTCTTTTCCCTAGGCACTAGACCATCAGACTGTGCATGGAGTCTGTCAGCAAATAATGTTACTAAACACCCATGTAGTCTTATAGATACTCAAAAAAGACATAACTGTACATACAAAAATAGATGTGCAGCTCTTTTTCAAGTTACTACCATAGTAACCATCTAGATACTGTCATGGGCAACTGACTCTATGTGGCCCTTCTTGAGCAAGGGGGTTGGACAAGATGACCGGCAGAGGTCCCTTCCAACCTCAGACAGTCTGTGATTCTGTGATACATTAATTTTCTTTCTTCAACTCAATCATATTACACAATGATGTCTTTCAAAATGGTTCATCTGTCATGGTCAACAAAGGTCCCTGTTGTAAAAGGGGAGATTTTCAAATACTTATAATTAAATTCTGCACCTTTGTTTTCTCCTTACTGAGTGATATTTTGTCCGAGTAATGAAACCTAGAGGAGGTCTTATACAGGCATCTTGAGGATGACATTGTTATATTCAGGAGAACTGCTAAATCTTAAAAATATAATCAGTTGTACAGATAATAGATAATTATCTCTGTGTGTATATATATGTAATAGATAATGCATAACGTAATAATAACATCAAAAGAAAAGATTTTATAAGACCATTTCAATTACTTGCCATGTACAGTGGATTTAATATGAAGCTAATTCCACAATAGGAGGATTTAAATGCCACCTTATTCAGTTTGAGAACAAAGAGATTTTCAGTTTATGTGTTCTGTATACATAAGAGAGGCAGCAGAATGGATTCATTGTGCACAAATCATGGCTAAGGTGGTGCTGAAAACAGCAGAGATAAAGGAAGTAGTGTGGCTACAGGAAAACAATATTTGTTTATGGACTTTGGTGTACTTTTTGTACCTTGTGAGAATGAGCAGTGATTAGATCTGAACTCTACAAAGAGTTCAAGGGGCTTGGTGGAACAGGTATGATTAATCTGTATTTGGTTGTTAAACTGATTTAGTAATAAGATAGTTTTGTGGGTATATACTTTATGATTCTTAAACTCAAATTACATTAAGCATTATGAACAGTCAAATAGGATAATTAGATTTACAAATACGTAAAGCAAATATTCAAGACTGGTTGCATCTGCTGCTTACAGAGAGTGAGATTTGACGTGCAAGACTTTTTCCAGAGAGCTGTACTGTAGATACATGTTCATGGATAACTCTTTGCAGGACAGCATTTTAAATCTGTTAGCGTGGAGAATTTACAAATTAACCCAAGGATTGTATGACATCATTGATCACATTTTTTCACAAGTGTTTGAGTAGCTGGATTCTTTTCTAACATACTAGTTCAATCACACTGGTGAGTCTGTTCTTTCACCAGTATGCAAGTTAGTTACCAGGATGCTGGGTATTACAAAGTCTACCAGCTAGATACTGGTAGGATGGTAGGATGCAGTCAATAGAAAGTTATATAACATCAAACCTAGCAAGTAATCACATGAAAGTAAACAGCTTTGTGATATTTCACCTTAATCATGAATGGTTTAAAGAATTTTTTAGTCCCTGTTCCTCTATATGAAATACTGTGACCTGTTTTCAAAGAAATTTAATGTAATAACAGTTCCATATTCAAATACATGCTTTTAGACATTATAAAAACCCACAGCATTTATAACTGTGCAAACAAAAACAATAGGTACAATCTGCTCTCATGCTTTAAGATAAAGGGGAACCTGAAGAAAATACAGCATTATCACTGTTTCAGTATAGTATGGGTTTTAAAGAAACAAGTATTTAATGATTCATTACTGCAATTACACAGTATTCTTATATAATGTAGTCGCTGTTCTTATATAATAATACACCCTACAATATAATACAATAAACTTTGAACTTGCTGTGCAGTATATTGATGAGTAAATAGGCTTGAACCCATTTTTATGGGTTCATGGGTTCTTTTATGGGTTCATTTTTATGGCATCATCCAGTACAAAAAACAAACCAAACCAGAGATCCTTTAGAGGCTATGAAAGAGCTTTCTTTTCCCATGTTTTTTAAATCAAGGGCAAAATCCTGGCTTATATTGGGGTCATTATTACCAATGGTAGCAAGATTTCATTTCCAATGGAGAAAGCAGGAAACTTTTCAGCATGCTCCCCTTGTCTCATTTTTTTTCACAAATCTTAATTCTGTTTAGATGTTTGTAGCATATGCGTGTCAGTGTGTTCAGTTTTATAACAAGCAAAATAATTCCTCAGTACAGGGGGATGAGGAGGTTTTACCTATCAGTGGGAGAAGCCATTGTTTGTAGGTCAGTTAAGTGCAGGATTTGACACCTTCTCTACCAAAGTAACATTTACATTACCAAAGAGGAAAGTTATGGCACTCCTGCTAAAGTATCAGCAAATGGGTGAAAGGTAAATATATTTTTGAAAGTACAATTGAATCTGCACTCCTCGAGGTACCTAAGGAGATTGTTGTAAGAGCTAACATACTTTACCAGCAAAAGTTCTCTCTGAGGAATGCAGCCTGAGACATAAAGCACATGAAAAGACAAAATTTCTCATAAAGTAGGTCAAGAAAATGCCCACCACAAATCAATGGCATATAGGAACATTTTTTTGTGCTTGTTGATTTTATAAGAAAGTTAAATGTAAATGTTTGGTTTGTTTGCATTCACCTTTGGCTTTCAAAAAACTTTATGTTATATATAAATATTTTTATTTTTTTAAGTTTGCTATCAAAATAACTAGCTAGTATCAAGGCATTGGTTGTTATTTCTAATCTAAGAGTATGACAAATCTAGGAAACAAAGGCATGTAAGATAGAGCCTTTTTGCTTCTCCTTACTGGAGATGTTTAAAAGGGAGAGTAAAGGACTGGGGGAAGTGGGCCAAGAGTGTATCTCAGAAAAAAGCGACAGAAAGTTATATATGTTGGCAGTGTTGTTTTAATGTAATTTATGGGAATGTACAATTATTTTCTAAAGGATAATCTTACCCACTGATCATGTCTGACCTATCAGACATCCAGCCCTTTTCACTATTCCTAGTTATAGTTGATGGAAGCTAGTACTGTGACCTTTCTCCAAAACTTTATTTTCACTTGCAGTCTTCAGCTGAGTAGCATTCTTCTTCTGAATGCTGAGAAACTTAATATTTTTCTAACATCAGTCTCCCAAGTCTTTAGTTCACTGTAAAGTTCAGAGAACAAAGAAGCCATTGTTGGAGGCTGAGGTACCACTCAGATCAGTTCAGATCATTTGCATTCAAGTCAGTTGCCTGGAGACACCAGTTTTTGATATTACAGAACTTAACTGTTCTGGTTTTGGGAAACTGCTCACTAGAAATGGGAAGGGAATTGCGTTGGAAGATGTACAGTTAAGTTTGCAAAGTGTCACGAGAAACACAGATTGATGTTCTTTATAAACCTAAGCATGCTCAAGTTTAGCAGACACTTGACTGTGTGATTGCATGAATATAGCATTAATGAAAGTCTTACAAGGGAAAGGGACTCTCCTGTCTGGGTTAATGTAAAATCCTTGTTTTGCTTCTATAATTAATTTTGTTTTATTTCCATAAATGTTTTAGGTGTATCAATACATGCATGAAACCATAACTGTTAATGGCTGTCCCGAATTCCGAGCCAGGGCCACTGCAAAGGTAGGATACGTGCAACTGTTGAAATATGTGTTACCAAAGTGATCTAGTAATTGACTGTGCGCGTGTGTGTTTCAGGTATTCGTGTGTACACTGTAAGAAAATTTAGACATCAGTGGCAGCCCAGAGTCTAGAACCAGTGCTACTTCCCAGGTAACAATCATAATGGAAAATTTCAACCTTTATGCTGCTTCTGTAGCTTAAGAAAAGAGAATGATTTTATGGAATATAGTGCTTTCTGAAAAGTTGCTTTGCAAAAGCAAAACTGGTTCATTTTGTAGAATTCTGCCTGCAACAACTAATATTTTAAGGGACTTTTTTCCCATACATCTCATCCAGAGAGGACACAATTATTTGGGAGATAGAAACTAGAGAGTCAAAATTCCCCTTTTAAGTAATGGAAAATGTAGGTACTGAGCAAGTGGTAAGGTTGAGCAGTGAGAGAAATGGCCTAGTCAACGTTTTGTTGACTCTATAGCCAAATGCAAGCCTGTATTTTTCTGACACATTGCCTGTTTTGATAAAATACATTGTCTCTTTGTCCATGTGGACCCAACTTTCTTATCCTTAGACTATGACAGCTACATTACTGCTATTACTGAGATGATAATTTCTAGGGGAATTCACACAACCATGAAAGAACCCATTCTATGTGCCAGTATGAAATATGCTCTGTATTGTCATAAGATGCCCAAAGATAGATGCTTCCAAACAAGGGGATCCAAATGGATTTCTTTTTCCCATTATCATTTTGTATGAAACACTATCTTCTTTGTGACATAGCAGATTCTATGCAAAATAAGTAAACTTGCAAAACTGATAAAACTTTATTTAGAGGTACTTGTTTATGGTCCATTCCTGTGAAGATAAACTCCCTGAAATCCTAATGGAACTGAGATCTTACCATTATGTATTTATGTTCAGAGATTTTAATTTAAAGCTGTATCAGAAGATGAAGGTTGGGAGCATGTTACAAAATTATTTTAGAGTACTTCAGAGATGCAAGCTCTATAATAGTCAGGAAATAACCTAATATACCTTAAATTACAGTGTATTTTCCTTATTAAATAGGACATTCTTTTCCGTAGGATGTTCTTCTGATTTTAACCTTCTAAGTGAAAGTTAATGGTCAATGTAAATTTGGTAAGTTCTGTGGTTCTATATAAAGAAATGTTTATATGAAATCCTGATTTGTTTACACTGCAGATAAACATAGAAATTATTGCTATGTTATTTAGTAAATGGGGAGAAGTCCAATTAGTGTTTCCCATTCTCATTTCTTATTCATATAGAACAGCAGGTTACAGAGCAATATTTCAATATCACAATATTTCCTGGTTATTTCTGGGCTGTCTGCATTTCATTCTCCTAGTGCATTCATGTCTGACATAAAATGTATGCATGATGACAAGTTCTGCATGTGCAAAAACATGTAATTGAGAATGTTCCATTATGTCATGTCATGTCATCCAATAGCTTCTATTAAGCATAAACATTTTAGGACGCTCAAAAATATTGGTGTAATGTAGAATTGTTCAAGCAATTTGATCTACAAGCGCATGTTGAAAAGTATAAAAGATTTTCTTAATGTTTCTTTACTGATTTACTAAGATCTACAAGTAAGAAAATGCTTGTAATGAAAAATGAAGTAAAAATGTAACATTTTTCTGGATGCAAGCTTTACAGTATATTACTTCTTTTTTTCCTAGAATAATATTAGCAATCTAGGATTTTTCTAATTGATTTATACATCTGTTGTCTTAAGATTTACTTTTTCAATAAAAATTTTGATCCAGTTATGTAATAAAACCTCCAATTCCTGTTCAGGAGTTACTTAGTTTGTGAGATTTCAAAAAGATTATGAATTAAACTTTTTAATAGAAGTATATAATTTTAGGATTTAAAATAATTTCCATAATTCTGAAAGCAAAGCAGAAAGTCAACAATTCAGTTCATCCACTTTATTTCAATTAGAGATCACATTATCTTATCCCACAGGAATAGATTTTCTTCCTGTGGAAAGGCAAAGAAGTAATGGAATAGTGATCATAAGCGTTCACCACCACAGAGTAAGGCTTCCCGGTGCCTTCTGGCTCTGCTGCTAACTTTCTGTGTTATCTTTGACAAGTCACCTGAACTCTGTGTTCCTCTGTTTATTCCTTTATTTCAAAAATATTGTCATAGGACTTAATGTTTTTAAAATGCTTTCAGATAATCAGAAAATGTCAGAGTAAGATATTGAAATGTTTTCACAGGAAGGAATTCTTCCTGCAAATGAGCAACAGTGTCTATCATTGTTCTCCCTAAATAGCCAAGTCACTCATTATTTTTCTTCCAGGCAACAGTTGCTGCATTTGCTGCAAGTGAGGGCCATTCACACCCGCGAGTGGTGGAGCTGCCAAAGACTGAGGAAGGCCTGGGCTTTAATGTCATGGGAGGAAAAGAACAAAATTCACCTATTTATATTTCTCGCATCATTCCCGGAGGAGTGGCAGAAAGGCATGGTGGGCTCAAACGTGGGGACCAGCTGCTTTCAGTTAATGGAGTGGTATGTGGAAATTTGATAACGCTTTCATTTTCATCTGGATTTTCACTTTTCACATATTTCTAATACCATGATTTAAAATGCAGCCACACGAAACAAAAAGAATTGGCTTTGTGAGAGACCTTAAGTGTGCATTTTCGGTGCAGTGAGGCAAAGCTCCATTGAGAACTTTGTGTCACTACAATTCCTGGCGCAGGAGAGTGCTTGAAGAGCTTCATTTCAGATCCATACCACCTGCCTAATTTACAAAGAAGCTATGTCCTAAATTGATAATTCTGTAAATCCCTTTTGCAGTAAAAGCCTAATAACAGACTGTTTTTCTTTCATTTCATAGTCTCTGAGGCACACAGCCCTTTCCAAGCACAGTGGCACTTGTGCAGTCTTGTGACCTTCAGAGACTTTGAACACATAAAATCAAAAGACATTTAGTAAGCGCATTTGGGGCTGATTTGCAATGGAAGGTTCATTCTAGATTTCTTTCAGTGGAATTCATCGAGCTACCTGATGATATCTTTGTTAGAGAAATCAGCTCTACAAATGTACGTATACAGGGAGCATGTATTCTCAGTAAACAGGTACATTTTTTACTTATTCATTTTTTGTGTAAGACAAAGTGGAGTATTTTGCAGTAGTTTCATTGTGAATGTCAATGCGGAGGAAAAAATAAAAGGGTTGTTGGAATTGACAGGGCAAGGTTCTGATTCCACGATATGGTCAAAGTCTGCATTTCATTGCTTTTGTTCCTTTTACAAGGGAATGTAAAGTAGCGAAAAGGTAAATGTACTTGTTCATATAACCCTACACTTCCCTTGAAGAAAATGTAATCCTTTTCATGCAAACCACCATCTAAACCTCACAGTTAAGTGCACCAAAGGCATGTAGGAGCAATTTCTGAATCCAGTCATAAATATAAAACTTTACAACTTGAATTTCTTCTTTGTTGCAAGCCCATAAACAATTAAAAAAATGCCTTCTTCTAAATGCTTTTGTGTTTTCGTCTGTTTCTCTCAAAAATACCCTCTTTCTCTTGAAAAAGTATGTGTGCAACACTTCAGACAGACTTTTTACCATTTCTTAAATCAACTATTATGTTCTCAAAAGAGAAATACTACTTCTGGAAACTTTCCTGCACCAATAAACAGTGAGAAAGAAAAGATACCAAAAAAAAGCCACTGAAAAGATTATTTAGTCTCAGAGTAAAATAAATAAACTGAATATTTCATGAAGTAAATTGCCTGAACTTCACTGATTGGAAGTAGATCAAAGAATTTTGTTGTTGTTGTTCAGCATTTCTTCCAACAGGTGAATAAAAAGGCAGACAAAAAGAGTTTTAATTCACTAATTGATGGATGGTTCTTGAAAAATCCTTTTACTGTCAAAGCATCTAGGCAAATAACAGAAAGAAAAGTGGTGAACCTTCAGATGTTAAGATATATTGAATATGACCCTCTTGTCACCTCTATTTTATGATTCTTTGTTCAAAAATTTCATACATGTGCTCTAGAATATATATTAAGGTATGCAGCAAAAAAACCACAATTCAAAGTTCCCAATTGTATGTACACGTGTGAGAAAGTTGATTTAGAGACACAAGAGAAATGTTTTTGTGTTCAGAGTCTGAACAACAGAATTTGAAGTTTGAATTGCAGTTGCATATTTGAAATAATCATAGAATCAAAGAATCATAGAATGGTTTAGGGTGGAATGGACCTTAAAGATTGTCTAGTTCTGACATCCCTGCCATGGGCAGGGACACCTTTCACTAGACCCAATTGCTCAGAGCCCTATTCAGCCTGGCTTTGAGCACTTCCAGGGATAGGACATCTACAACTTCTCTGGGAAAGTTATTCCATTGCCTCACCATCCTCACAGTAATAAGCAACTTTTCATAAACCAATTTTGGGCTGAATTAAACCCATACAATATAATTCCTAAAAAGGCAGAAATTATAGAAGTGATTATTTGTTTGCAGACAGCTTGAGACAGGACAGAAAAGATCTAAATTAGCATTGTTCTCTGGGACTGATTCACTCTATGCTTCTCTTAATTTAGCTGGAGAAAAGCAAATAATATACAGTAGGTACAATAGAGCAGACGGCTCTGCAGTGGAACATGAATATCTGTAACTTGTTTGTGCTGAGGCATTGATGGTTATCCAACTTCGTAATTATCAACATAAAATTAGAACTGTGTGTTCAGAATCCAGATTTGTTATCCTAACATGACTGGGATGACTGTTCCTTGAGCTGTTTCAATGTATGTTAAAAAATAGTGTTTTCTCATTATGCTGGGGATTTTGTTACATACTTTTGTCCCACACCCCTTAAAAGTAAAGGAAATTAAAAGCAGTAAGCCTTGCAGATGGCTCAGCACTTGCTGATACCTCTTCATATCTGGCAAAGATACTGTGTGTGAGTCAGAGGAAGGATGCAAAATAGATTTATAATGGCTAATTTGTCACCCAAGTATAGATACCTAATAGAAATATTCTTCTTAGTTTCTCAGCTTGTGGGCTAACAGATTTTTTTTTTTGACTGCAATAAAGTGGGACTTTTTCTAGATTTATAACGAATCTGTGAACCAGGATACAGTAATTGTTGGTGTTTGCCTGCACCATATCTACAGTTCTCTCAGCTGTTCTCGTCTCTCCAGTATTTTGCATTCCTCCCTCTGATGCAGTCTGCCAATGCAATACTGAGAATAAAGAAGTAAATATATACAATAAAAAATTACATTTTAAGTAAATATGTGCGTTCCAAAACAATTTTATTCAATCCCATGTTTGGTGGGCAGTTCTAAAGTAACATAAGTGTCAAATCCTTGCAATGTCCCCCAACCAGCATAATGTAGTCAGCAAAGTACCTTATACAGGAATGACCAATACCAGTATGAGTCCTTTGCCAGCACAATCTCAGAGGTTTACAGAGGTGGAAGAACTCAAACAGCAGAACAACTTCCTTTGCCCTTTCCTTTCCCACACTCCAAGGGGCTCTGCTATGTCACTTGTGCAGCTGCTGTTACGCAGGTGAAGCATTTTTAATGCCTTCAAAATAGGAGTGCAAGCATCAGTGAAGACATTAAGAGTAAGTATAGCAATCACAGAAATAGTAACTGAAAGCTGTGGCTGTCAAGACCTGAGCGAGGTGCGTTCGGAGAGTAGTATTTGTTTTAGCAGCACTATCTTTGTTATTTTACCCTCTTTGCTTATGGTTCAGGGCATTAGGCTTAATTCTGTATCATTACTATCCAAGTCAATGGGAGTTTTCCATTGACCTGGATGGCAACAAAGTCAAACCCTTCATTTTCAATTAGAAAATACTGTCTGTAAACTGGAAGAACAAGGCCGGAGGCAAACAGGAGAGAAAACAGACAATCATTAATTAAATGCAGTTTACTAGCTTGAACAAAATATTAAAAATATTAAAATACATTGTTATTCCCCTACAGAACAATCACAATTACTTATTGATGTCAGAACCGTCGTGTAGCTTGGGAGCTTACAATGTTTGTTCATAGCCTGTTCTAAGTTCCTACTGTTGCACAGCAAAACCAATCACAACACCACTGAATACACTGTTGTTTCTGCTGAATGTCCATGCTGTGCCATACTGACCATGATTTACAAGCAAAAATGAAATATAGAACAAAGCCAAATTTTGTGCAGTTTCTCTTAAGGCAAGACCTGTATTTACAAAAGCCAGTATCAAAGCCAGTCACAAAGAATGTGCTTAATATAAAAGAGAGCTGGTTACAACATGTGTTAGTTATGATCACCTCTTCTAACTAACATCGAACAGTTATTTTCCAGTTCTGCTCTGTCCTCGTATGGTACATGTCCATGGCATTGCAGCGCTGCTGCCTGGGAGCTGCCGTTCCACAGGATCCTGCAGTAGCATCAATAACCTGTGCCCTGAGCTGCAGAAGGATCGCTGTGGGAAGGGGGGGAACCAAAGCAATAGATGGCAGAGGGCAGAAAGGGGGTGATGTCAGGGCTTGTGTCCTTCCCCGTGGGGAAAATGGGGAGCTCTGCCTGCAGCTGTAGCAGCAGGGCTGGGGGAGGGTGGATGGGGCTTCTCACAGGGGTCCTTTAAATGTGAAGGGAGAGGAGGCAGCAGGCCATGAAGAAATGGAGCAGCTTAGGTACTGCCTCTGGAAGCAAAGCATGTATCAGGGTCAAGGCAGAGGCTTGTCCCAGCCCAGACCTGTAGGTGGTTATTCTGCGGTCTCTGGAGGTAAAAGGAAGAAAAGGATGTTACAATATCAGAGCATGAAAGCTGACTATGACTGGCTGGTATTGGTGTGCAACCAGGGAGCATGACCTGGGCTAGGGGATGTGGGGAAGAAGTTTTCATTTGCATCTGTGGCTTGTTCATTACAGCAATTTCACAAAACACTGTGTTCTTCTATATCTTTTTATTTTAGCTCTCTTTAAAGCACTAGACACATTCACTGTTTCTTATACAACAACAGTTTCCTTTTTTTCCCAAATATTTGTAAGGAAACAATTTCCTTCTCCAAATTAGTTTTTCAGTAGCAGTGCTTGTCCAGCAGATTTATCCCAATTTCTAAGAAATCTGATCATCACAGATCATGAATTTTCTTTAAGATCTTTGGACCTACTGGAGGAATTTAATGAACATACAGTTCAAAAATTGTATTTTGAAGGGTTTTTTTGAAGGTTTTCTCTGTTTCTGGTAATTGTTTCAACGCCTGAAATGACATTCGTTATTTCTCTGAGTTGCATTGATGTTTTCAAAGCATCTTAAAATTTCTGTAGAAACTCAAATCCAGTCAGTTGACTCAGACATAAAATAATTATTTGTATTAATATAGTGAAAGATATTTAACAGGAGAGGGAAGATAACTAGCAAGACAATAAACTGAAATTGTTTATATTATCTATGTAGAAGTGTTTGAGTCTGCTTTTTGAAACTTTTGAATCATTAATTTTAGCTCTTATTGTGCCACAGCAGAAGTGGTTCTTATTCACTGTTCTTGCACAATACTACTGAGTCAAATAGGAGAGATGAAAATAGAAATAGTTTTCTTCTGGCAGTTGCTATAACACTGTTAAGTTATTCTTTTTGCAAATAAAAATATTTGAACTTAAAATATTTTCAATGCTGCTGCTTCTCTTTGGAAGTCTAGAAACCTCTGGGTATAGGTCCATTTCAAATAGCATGGTATACATAAGAGTTTTAAAACACAGCAGGTGGTAAAACTTTAATTTATTTTAAGTGGAAAGAAAATTACTTTTTTTGAGGTGGTCTAAAATCCATGTGAGGATCTCAGATGTGCAGGCTGTTGGGATTTTTTTGTGTGCAGAGATACTTTTGTTTTTTGGAATATCTCCTACAACACATGTGGACAATCATACACCATTAAAATTTTTCCCCCTTTTTATTTAATGTGTGGAACAATCCTTATGCCTGAAAAGCACTCCATTTAGTCCACTTAATAGTAGAAATTGAATACTCTTCACAGCTGAGTCATGTCCCTGTTTTGGAAATTTACTGTTTCAAACAACATTAGCATAGAAATCAGAGCATAAGCCCCTTTGGGAATACTTTTGTTTTCACAGCAGATAATCATTTTACTATAAAACATTTTCCAGAAAGGGAGGAAAAATATATATTCCTTCAGCAAGAGTTTGTAATGTTTCAGTTGTTTTTCAGTTTCATTGCTTACAATTAACCAGATAAAGACTAGTTTATTTCCAACAGAAAACCCATATCATGTAAATGTTAAACATCTGAGCAACACCATTAACCTTCTAAGACACATATTGTCCTGGGGAGCAGCAGGCATCCTCCTCCACCTACAGCTTAGCAACTTGGAAAGAGAAGGCTCCAGAGAGACTTTTGGGCAGCCTTTCAGTACCTAAAGGGGCCTACTGAGGAGCTGGAGAGGGACTTTTACAAGGGCATGTAGTGATAGGACAAGGGGGAATGGCTTCAAATGGAAAGAGGGTAGATTTAGATTAAATATTAGGAAGAAATTCTTTACTGTGAGGGTGGTGAGGCACTGGAATAGGTTGCCCAGAGAACTTGTGGATGCCCCATCCCTGGAAGTGCTCAATGCCAGGTTGGATGAAGCCCTGAGCAACCTGGTCTAGTGGAAGGCATCCCCTATGGCGGGGGGTTGGAACAAAATGATCTTAAAGGTCCCTTCCAACCCAAACCATTTGATGATGATGATGATGACTATTTAATCATCGCATGTCCTTTCCTGTATAATCAAGCAGGGACAGGGCATAAGAAAGGAACTGCTGTTACAAACTTGCAATTTCTTCATTTCTTACCAACATTTAAATAGGATTTTATTTTTGTACCTTGCAAACAATTTGTTTGGGTTTTTCAACATTATTTTTGTTTGCAAAAAGCTGGTTGAATATCTCATCTCAATCTCACACAGATCAGAAATTAGATTTGTAATTGTAACCTAAAACAGATTTAAGTTATTTTAAATATAAAAATTAATACATCCGCAGCAATGCATAAGTTTACTTAACAGCCTTTCTGTATGAAGAAGACACAGTTTTAGGTCAAAGCACCATTTTCATTATTAAATCTCCCTGCTCCCAGAGTGTGGAAGGAGAACACCACGAGAAGGCGGTGGAGCTGCTGAAGGCAGCTAAGGACAGCGTCAAGCTGGTGGTACGCTACACTCCCAAGGTGCTGGAGGAGATGGAGGCTCGCTTCGAAAAACTGAGAACAGCCCGGCGCCGGCAACAGCAGCAATTGCTCATTCAGCAGCAGCAACAGCAGCAAACTACACAGCAAAACCATATGTCGTAGGTGAGAGGATTCATTGGTCTTCCTTAAAGTCCACTGACAGCACCCTGCCTGGGCTAGCTGCTCCCAGGGGTCCAGGGGTCTGTCAGGGCAGCATCTGATGCCAGGGCCCAGACAGGAGCAGGGCAACAGTAGGCCCAGACTGCCTGGGGATGGGGATGGGGATGGGGATGGGGATGGGGATGGGGATGGGGATGGGGATGGGGATGGGGATGGGGATGGGGACAGGCTGGGCCATGACCCCACAGGTGGTCCCAGCTCAGTGGGACCCTGTGGCTGGGCAGGGTAGGGCTGTGGGGAGCTGGAAACTGGCCCTGCTGGGGCATTGCTGGAGCAGGGGATGATGGCCCTGGGGGCTGACATAAGGTCCTGGGCTGTGGACAGGGTGGAAGAAGCTCCAAGGCAGGACAGTCAGGGAGCTGGAGGTAAGTGCTTGGGGACCCAGCAAGCACTTACTGCAGTCAGGATGAGGAGAGCTTATTATTTGGTACATTGCCACATGGTTTGTCCCAGTAAAATTGTATTCTGAAAATAGATTAAAGGCACTAGCAAATCGTGGAGCCAATTTCCAACTAATAACCCTGAGATCAATAGCCACTGTGCAGCTCTGGCTTATCTGCAAGCAAAAAAGTCTGTAGTTCCTGGGAACTTTTTTTGCATTAAAAACTAGAGCATTTATGACAAGTAAAAATATGCCACCAGATTTAGACACAGTTCAATGCATTTTCAACTAACTGGTTACCCCTCTGCAACAGAACATCTAGATTTGCTGGTGTTAGGTGAAGAAAAGTCTTCCTAGTCCCTTCCTTGCTACAGGGAACCCAAACTTCACTCTATGGTTACTCTGCAGGACACCTACAAGTGCTTACTGCTCAGGTACAGTTTTGGTAGGAAGTATTTAGTTTGCTCTTGACTGGCATTCAATATTGTAATAGCTTCCAAGAGGCTTGCAAGTTTCCCAGTGTAATCAAAACATCTGGCATGTAAAGTTAAGAGATTCAGTTTCTCTGAAATCAGTGAGAGTTTTTGCCATTAATACATTTATAGCTTTGCTCTGTTTGCCTAAATGAAATCTAGTAGGAAGCGTGTCCCAATGACTTACATTCCAACCCTCTGCATCTGCCTCTATATCTCATATCTGTTGGTTCCCAAAAGAGGACATTTATAGTAATATGAGTCCACAGGTAACTCAGAAAGTCCCAAATGGTCAAAAACTGAAGCTTATCATGATGGTTTCATCGTTATTAATGTTAACACTGACCTCTGTTGATAGTTAGGGGAAAACACCCACCTTGTAAACCCCCTGTACTGTGATCACCAGAATTCCAGATTTGTGGATGCAAACAAATGCTCTGAGTGGGTTCTGAATCCCACCTTAGGGCCTCCGCTCAGACAGGAGATACAAGCAGTAGTATATATACAGTCAGGATTCTGTGTAAAACAAGGCCATTGCAGGACATGGACATACACGTGAAGTTTTTAATTTTGTTCAGTTACCTAACTCTTTTCATCATCAAGTAACGTATTTTTACTGATTTTATTTTTTTTAAATATTTATAAAGGGAAGGAAGGCAAGGCAGAGACAGGCAGCAGCTTAATTCCTCAATTCTTTGTGCTTGCTCTGATTAATGTGTTTCTTTAATTCTAGGATATTCTCAAGGAAGAAAAAGCCTCAATCAAGAGTTCAGTAATCAAGCAACCAGAGCTGTACTTCAGTATTCCAGCAAAACGAAACAACTACATGAAATAGAATTCATCTGGAGAATATACAATACAAGACTAATGTAGTTAAGTGAGCCATAGAGAGGGTACCTTCATGATAAGGCTTTTCAGCAACACAGCGGTCACAGATACCTGCTACTGTTGTGACTCTGTTCCTAGTGAGAAAGCATGATTGGTAAACCCTATGAAACAGAGAAGTCCAGGGCTTCCAAATAATTGTGTTTGATCTAATCTTGCACTCCTTACTCTGACAAATTTGCCAGTTGGCTTTCTTTTAGTCACTGAAAATTTTATTTAAGGAGGTTAAGATTGGCTGCTTTTGAGGACAGGATCTTTCTCTACAGTTATCTCCAGAAATGTACTACATCTACATCAGTTCAAAATTTTGCCACAGACATCAGACTTATATATCACGCTTCATAACCACTTTGTACTATATATTGTAGAGCTGTTTTAACTTAAATTCCTGTTTATAATTTTCAAATTTCCCTCTGGAAATAGCAATTTACTATATTTATAAAGTATTCCATTTGTAGAAGCAATTGGCTTTTTACTCTTGGTGTTTCCATATATTTTATTATGCATCAACAGAGTGAGAAAGTTTTAGGTCAGCTTTAATTTTATTAGTAGTAAAGTTAGGGAAGCCTAGAACTGTATTTTTAAACGTAGGTATTGCTTGTATCTATTATAGTTACTATTCAGAAATCTATAACTGGATATATTATATATTTATTCCATAAAATATATATTGTCTGAATGTACCTTTTAGAGAAGTAGGGTCTTTGCTTAGCATGTATTGCAAATGTGGTAAGCTAATGTTAGCAAAAGACCAAGCTTTGTTAGGCAGATATTACTGTGATTGCATAATCTCTGCATTTCTGTATTGTTTAATTTATTTTCCTGTCTAATGTTAATATATTTTAGAGAGGAGGAAGTGTAAGTTGTTTCTTTTAAGACTCACACATTATCATTTAAATCAATTTGAAATTAGAGTTCCTTTTTTTTTAAATTAAACCAAATTGGAATGTGCAAAGAAAATCTATAACTAAGTTCTTAAGTTTACATGTCTGCTTTTCCAAAGAAGATAGTCAAAGCTGGAAGGCTACAGATGTCACCTGCTTTTAGAAAATAAGAAAATGGACCCCAAATCCTAAGAAAAATTAAAATAATAATTTTCACATGCCTTCTATGCTTCATTAAAAAAGATGGGGGAGAAAAGGAACTTAGAGAAGAACCCTACAGTCATTTGCATGTTGAAAACTCCAGCTGATGTCAGTGAAAGTTCAGTAATGAGAGGAATGTAGAAATAGTTAAAACCAGTATTCTGGTTGAGAACTTGGAACAAAGTCAGAAACAATATTTTGAAGGATCTATTCTCAAAGGGAGAGAGAGACAAAGGAAAACGGGAAATTGGCAGTATCATAGCATATGTTAGAAACCAAATGCAGGCTAGCCAAAAGTCTTGACAGTGTTTGATTAATGTAAGTAGTCATTAAAAGGAAGTTACTGTATTTTTAAAACCAAACAGCATGGATTCATCTTGAGAAGCCTCATTTTATACCAAGAAGTAATTCTATCTACTAGTCATCAGTGACAATATCAATTAAGACAGTGGAGTTTGAGAAGTATCAGAACTGAAGATGAAATATATTGTATTGTGCTCTGCACGGTGTCTTTTTATACTTAATAAAATTGTACGTACCTATTTTAAAACTGTATTCTCAAACAGACATTGCTATTAATATTGACAATACATAAATTGTTATTATGACTGCATATAACTGTTCTGTATCTCATGAGTATGATTTGAATTACACTGATAGCTGCATTTTCAGAGACCAAGTATTCAGACTTAGTTAGCCCACTGTACTGCATTTTTCCAAACTGCCTCTCCACCTCTTCCCCTCCTCTTCCTCAAAAAATTTGAGTGGAATGTGCTGATTAATAAGTTTCAATAATAGACTGTCATTCATCTAGAGAAGCATACCAAATTAATTTTCATATATTATTATTCAATAAATTATTTATACACACTAAAATTAATATTCTAGTCTTTGCCAACATTTAACAATAAGATAAAAGAAAAATATAAGTAAAATCCAACTGTCAACGAATTTGAAGTGGAAATAAGAAAAAATAACTTTCTATCACTTTTCATGCCCCTTACTGCTCAATAAAACATAGCCATTTAATCATGGAATAATCTCTGTCCCTAAGCCTATCACATGCATTTGTTCGTAGACAGTATTTTAATTTGTGATTTAAATGTCTTCAGTCTGGATGCAGTAAGGCATCCAGACTGAATTAGTACCCAATTCAATGCAGGGAGGACAACACTATTCACATTCAGGCCTGCAGATGTTTGTGGATTGTGTTTTAACTGGCATTTGCTGTTCCACTACACTGAATTAATATTCTTTCAGTGAATTTAGTGACTTATATCACCCATATTTACTGTTGGGGCTCTTTCATGTTTCCCGGCACTGGCAGCAGACTGAGGTAGGAGATCCAAGAAGCCTTTTCTGTCTCTTTATTACAGTAACCAAAGGGGTATTTACGCACTCTTGCGTCAGGTTCCCTTATGCCAGAAATCCAGATGCAAGATCTAATAATAATAGAGAATGCAGGGTTGGTGGCATTTACTTTGAGAAGTTGATGGCTCTGCTGTGCTAGCCCTGGTTTTTTTTTGTTTGTGTCACTTGATCTGACTGGCACTTTATAGGGCATTGAAGGGTTCTGTAGTCCTTGATAAGTGAAAAGCTCAACAGCTTGTATTTTCATCTTTTCCTTCTACAGTGACAAATCATAGATGGAAGGTCAATGAATGCCCATGAGTGAGAGAAATGATGTAAAAATCTACCTGCAGTTCCCTGGTGAATAATACTACAGATCTCATAGTCCTATACGTTGTACCTTGTGTATGTATTTATCACAGCCAAGCTCCCAGGATGACTTAGGAACCTTTGGGATCTCTTGCAGAAGGCTCAAAATTATATGCCTCATTTGCACTAGAAGAAACTGTTTATTCATGTACTAACTTTAGGGATTTTAGAGTTCTAAGTGAAATTAAGATCTCATGAGCAAAGTTCCTAGAATAAGAAAAAGTTCCTAGAATTAAAAAAAAAAAACCAAAAAAAAAACAAAAAAAAAAAAAAACCACCTAAACAAGAAAGGGAGTGGTTTTGCCTGTGTTTGAAATAAAACAGGATTTTAAGCATAAACTAGAATTTATTATGCTCACAGAAGATGTATTTTATTACAGGATGAGCACCTGTTTCAGAAAGTAGGAATTCTGTCTGAATAATTCTGCAAAAGAAAACCAACCAATCTCCTGATGCAGAATTGTGTTCTACAAGTGCTAAGGAGACCCTTCCATGTGTAAGCAGTGGATTATTATCTAGAAGTCATACTGTCCTTGCATTAGTATTAGTGAGACCATTTCCATATCCAGCATTCAATAAAATGAAACGAGTTTCAAACCAAGACAGTATTCTGGGTCAGTTTGAAGAAATGTGCTGTCTGCTGCAATACATGTCTGATGAGAAATACCCATTGTGCTTGCCCACGAGAAGGTCAGGATGAATTGGGGATGTGCTCAAACAGTCTTGCAAGCAGACCCATGCTCACCCTGCTTGTCTGTGAAGTGAATGCAGTGCCTCTACCTTCAGCTGTCTAAAATAAAGCTGCAGAGCTTACACTGATTGTTTCCAAAGTCAACAGAGAGTTAGAGGGATCCATCGAATGAGATTCAATCTGTCTCTGACATATATCTTTAAATAGGATAAGGCATCCTGTAAAAAAGTTTATAAGCAGAGCCACTGACGAAACAGCCTAAACTACTAGCTTGGAGTGAGTAATGTCTTTTGGGGGGTGGAAGAGGGGTTACTGCTACACTCATACACAGCTTCCAAATAAATATCAAGTCCCCAGTGTTTGAATTCCCTAGTGTAAAACCTCTGCATTCATAGCTCAGATGAGTAAGAGGCCTTGCATGTGTTCTGGTTTGTAAGGAGGTTCCAGTTTTTACAGATGTCTGTTCTGAAACATTCTAAGAAATGTAAGAGCTCAGCACAGGTATTGTTAACAAAAAGCTTTGGTTGCAGTGCATACAGGAAAAGACTGTAACAAGATTCATCAGACAGCAGAAGTCTGTACTGCTACCCCCAACATTGGGCACATTTTACAATAGCCAAAAAGATGAACTGCTGCTTTTGATTTTTGGTTACAAACAGATGCACAAAAATGAAAGCCATCAAACTTGCAACATAGGAATTTGCTGTAACAAGTCATAGCAAAACTTGACCAGTTCTGAAATCTAAAATCTGCAGTTATCTGGGATTAACAGATTAAAAGCAGAAGATGTTTTGGAACAGCCAAAATCAAAGAGGAAAAAAATGCCATAGGGGCTTAACCTCTGACCAGCTTTTAATTTCCTTTCTTATAGTTAGTTTCACTCTTACCAACTCATCAACCACAAGCGAAGCTTATGATTCAGCAACTGCACTTATTTTTGTCAAAACCATAGAGAGCTGATAGGGTAGAGGAATACCTTTTCCTTTCCTTCCTCTCTCTGAGACTTGTGTGAAGCTGTCTGCTCCAAAAAGGTGATACCTAAACACATCCCAGCCCTACACAGAATTTCTTCATTAGTCATATTACAGTTTCTCCCCACTAGCAATTCTCAGTGTGTTTCCTCAAAGTGAGCATGTTATAAACACACAAATTCATGTTTATTTCAAGGAAAAGTCTGTGTTAAGCCTGAAGCTATTCCAACTTTCAGTATTCCCCTACCTTTCTTTCCATGCAAAATTTTGATCCCTTGCAATCTCCTCAGCCAGCTGTGGCATTTAGACCTTGCCATATCTACCTGCTGGAGTGCTCTGCTCTTCTCTTGCACTCCCCATCCAGTAGCTGCCCTCTCATGGCCACCATTGCCAACTGTCTTAGTTGCCCTACACAAAATAGTTTTGCTAGCCCTGAGGAACGCAGGGAAAAAAATACGTTGAGGGGTAGAAAAATGGTAGATAAATCTTGAAAAACTTTTTTCAGGATATACCAGTAATGACTCCTCTTTCCTGAGTCAGCTCCTTTTCAGCAGATGATGTTCACCTCTCTCCCGATAAAGCACTGTGCAATGACATGGACCTGTGGAATGGCCAAACACCCTCCTCTTGCTGAAACAGTAGCTCCTTGTCTGGAACCGATGGACATCAATGCCTGCTTGAAGGCATTACACCATGAATTCACACATGTGGAGTAGGTCAGTGTCACTACGCAGACACCTGAGTTTTACAGGTGATGAAAATCCAGCATTCTGGCATGCAGACCCATGTCTCTCTGGAATTTCAGGGGTGGAAATGTGGAATCAATTTCTGGCAACATCCTAACATTGAGTCAGAGCCTTCAGCCACCCAGTCTGAAAGTGTTTGTATTATTAAAAGACATCCAGGAACCAATGTTTCATTTGTTTTGAAATTCTGTTTCAAAGTAAGTTTTCAACAGTAAGAAATGAAAAAGCAAGAACCTTTTTTAAACTCCTGGGGATCAAACACACAGCGAACTATTAATTTCTGTACTAACTTCATGCTTCAGGTGCAGAACTTCCACCAGCACCACCTTTCAAGCCTCGGCTTTGTGCGCGTTGTACTTATCTTGTCTGTAGTTTCAATTTCTTTCTGTCAAGAAAGAAATTAAACTGTTTACTCTTCTGCCTTAGTACCCCTAAAGGAAAACATAAACTTGACTGCTTACTTGAAGGGGGTTTAAGCATCAATTAACTCAGACTTGAGTTTAAGTGCTGACTAGACCTTCTGAAGCAATATTTGTCTCCACTGTTCTGTGTTGCACTATATCACGTTTACTGCTCCGTTTTATGAATATATCTGTGTGTCCTTACCTACACTTGACTACATTCAGTGGGCAGTGCCACGGTGCAGCTCGCAGTTGAATAAATAAGCTAAGGGAGACGCCTAGTGTAAAATGATGCTCATGGCACCTTTAGCGGCTCGTTCCGGTGTCACTGCTGCAGGCTGCTTTTCTGCTAGCGTTAAAAAACTGCACACAGAGATATACACAGCACTCATTTAGCATATCTGCGCACATTTTACAGTGACTGGACAATCTGGAAAACTGAACTCCATTTAACGTGTGCAATAACACGGGGTTATGTGGTGCTACGAATGGCAAATAGCAATAGGATTACAGCAATAGAAGCAATATTCTTACCTGGATAATAATTCTAGGATTAATGTAAATATTGCTTCATATGGTTAGTGGACTGCACACAGCCAGGGTCTGATCACAGTGCACCTGCTGTTGCTGCTGCTGAAGATTATACATGTGCTGATGAAAAAAATAACCCAAGGCACCATTAGGCAAGTGTATCATCCACAGCGAAGTGAAGGAAAGATGAACACATCTCCATGCCTTGTGGAAGGGAGCCATATGAACCAGGTGCAGTAACAAATGGATGCAAGTCACGAATCTCACACTGCAGCAGCTGCTCTGCCTTTGGAGGGGACTTGTCAAGGATAGCCATCAAACTGGGTTTCCCTGGTAGCTGTGATTTTCTCAAAGATAATAGTCTGTACCGTGGCCTGGCACTGCCTTCCTCAGAGGGACACCCCAACACAGCCCTGGATCATTAGATCCAGGTATATCTATGGATTAGCTTTAGAGGGATTTTATTTCTCCCTCTCTAGATACTATAATTTTTTCTTCTTTCTCTGCAAACTCTAATCAAGGCTTTGATCTTTATCTGAAGTATGAAGATATTTTAAAG